TGGGTCTATGAAACCCAGGAGAGGTGACTCTATAGAGGCTACAACTAGAATTAGGGTTCCTGGAGGGTGTGGTGGGGAAGGTGGGGGCAGGGATAAGGGGGCGTTGTTATCAGGAGTTCAAGAAAGAAGAAAATGTTTTGAAACTGATTTAGGTAGCAATTTTACAATACTGGTTGATGTGATTGAACTATGGAATGGCATGCTGTCTGGATTAGCTCCTAATAAAATGGTGTAGAAAAAAAAATACACCTCCTTTTTTTTCCAAGACAGAAAACAGAGGTAAATCATAGCAGTAGGAGCAGTGGGATAAGAAGAGGACCACACACCTCGTGTCAAGCTCATGTCAGTTGGGATCAAATTGTCAAGGGAGGGGGAGGGGATGTTGACTATTTAGTGGCTGCCATGGAAAGTTATGATGAGCCCTGTCCCATCCCCCAGGACAGGTAGCCATCCCTATCCGAGGGATGAAGGATACTGAAGGGAAAGTCACGTCAGGAGAGGGGAAAGGGAGCAGACTTCTCTGGGAGAACACAAGCACATGGCTCTTGGTAGAAAAGGGGGGAGGACTGACCTCCAAGTGGGAGGAAAATCACTAAAGATACTTTAATGTAGCCTAAGTGGGGAGTATCCCTAGTAATATGTGCTGAACAAGCCACATTGGCCTGAGTTTCTGGGCACATCCTGGGGAACCAGCCAAGTGCCATAGAACACTTGGGCATCGAATCCTAGATCTTCAAGGTGCACAACATGCTCCAAAGTCCACACCAGAAAGATCCAATACAGAAACTCAACTAGGTGAACTGGACTCTACTTCAAACCCACTTGTAACCTGAGGACTTAAGACTGAAAATTCATGGTGCTTGAAGAAGCAGAAGACAGCTATACCAAGAGTATCGAACTGTCCGTAGGTGGATAATCCTTGACTTACTACATCTATGCCATGTATTAAGATATGTTATTCCAGCAAACCTGTGACTGACACTCAGTCAATATCACTATAAATTTTCCCTGACAATCAACTCCCATTGCTTATGGCAATAGCATCCAGCCAAGAAAGGATATGTTGTACATATGAATAATTAAGGTATTGTGATATGGAGTTAGCCTTCTATTGACACAAAATTCCTCTCTCAACAATGTTTTAAAAAATTAGTACCAGTGGCTAATCAATGACAATTTAACAGAAGATCTTTATGCTCCAGGGAGATAATCAATAAATTAACATAAATTAACAAGGAGGTCTCTATAGTGAGCCAAAGGCAGAAAAAACAAACAAACAGATCTAGGAATGGGTTTTGGGCTTGCACTAAATCCTAGCTCCAATTTAAGAATACTTAGTTCTTATATCATGGCCCTGCTTGATACTCTCCCTCAGGAAGGGAATGCAGAAGATACGGGTACTAAAGCAAAATGTGGTGAAGAAATTAGATGGTGCCCAGCTATCAGGTAAAATAGCATCTGGGGCCTTAAAGGTTTGTTTCCAAACAAGCAGCCATCTTGTGAGATATATCAGTGAGCCATATCAGTGAGATAACAAGCACACCAACATCAGTAACTGGAGGACTGTAAATCTTATCATCTGAAGTCAAAGGGAGGGACTAGTATCAGAGCCTCCATGGTGAGAGTCTGGTTTGCAGGAGGCTATGGATGGCAGTGGAAGCCCAAGATACGTTTGTGAGATCTACACAGGAAATAAGTCTCCAGGGACTTCCCTCTATCCATAATAGAGGGATGAGAGGAAACCCGTTACCAAAGAGACTGCATTGGAGTGATGATAATAAAAGATCAAAATGATAAACCTGACTTGAATGGTTAAAACCTTGTCAGTTGATCTTCCATCTGATGCACGTTGGGCCAGATCTAGTTTTCAACAATTTTTGTGGGGTTTTTTTTTAACCATACTGAAATTTATCACAGATGTGTTTTGTCATCGTGGGGGGTAAACTCTTGCATTTTGGTTGTATGTTTTCCTGTTTTTCATTGGACGAAACCCAGGATTGATGAACTTATAGAAACAGCAAGCAGAAGAAGGGCTCCTGAGTGGAAAAGGGGAGCTGATATCACAGAGTTCAAGAAGGAGGAGAATATTTTGAAACTGTGGCTGCAACTGTACAATACTGCTTGATGTGATCGAACTACGGAACGATTGATATCTGTATTAGCTCCCAATAAAATGGTTTTTGCAACAAAAAATAAAAAATAGGGCAAATACTACTAGCTGACCTACTGGGACAGATGGAGTGTTGTCCTGAATGCACCTTCTCGTTTAATCCCTGCACTTCAGCTTGTATGCAATTTGACGGAGTCATTTCTTGAATTCAAGTAAATACTAGTTTACTCATGTTTTCAGGGAAAAGAAATTTACCTTTGACTGTTGGAAGAGATTCCTTGGTATAGGTTGGCTAGGATCTGCATGGTAAAAATGATCCGTGATTGGAATCGCAATACCCATTTTAGATGGAGGTCTGTAATTTACCTGCAAGTGATTAAGCAAAGAAGATACATTTTATTTAAGTTAATTAAAAAGTTTGTTTTTTCCCCACAAAAGAATCTGAGGTAAACATTCTGCTCATCATTTCAGGAATTAAAGAAATTCCTCTTCATTCAATACCTCTCTACTCTCCCTTTCCTTCCCATTTTCTGAGATTGCAATAATCTCCATTTGTTCTAATATAACTTGAGACTTATAAATGGGTCAGAGAAACTTTTAGTGCCTGGATAACCCCAAACCAACCCCACTGCTATTGTGGCAATTCTGACTCATGGTGACCTCACTTAGGGTTTCTGAGAATGTCAATCTTGATGGAAACTGAGAGCTTCATCTTTCTTCTGAGGACTGTGGATGGTTTTGAACTGCCAGCAGCCCAGTGCTTATTCCTAAAGACATAAAGCCAATGAATTAAAGTTTAAAATTTTATAAAATAACCTTAGTGGCATTGTAGTGAATAATCCTTCCAGTTTGGCTATTTGCCCTTTTGCCAGAAAGAAAATGATAATGAGTTGTCTAAAAAAGAATAATAATTTGTGCTTGCGAGTCACTGATTCTAACAAGGCAGAAGTTAAAAATCATGACCGTGGACTGGAACTGGCAAAATATGAGGGTCAAACAAAAAAATATTCCAGTTCATACATACTTAGATTTATTCCCAGAAAAAATCATGAAGCGTGCCTCTGTGGTCAGTGGCTGGTTGTCGACAACTTCTCTCAGTATTACACTTGTCTTAGTCTCATTTAACTCAATTCAGCTCACTGCCATTGAGTTGATTCTTATAGCCACCCTAAAGGGAAGGGGAGAACTGACTCTGTGGGTTTCTGAGATTTTAATTTTTTTTAATAAGAAAGAGCTTTATATACAAAAGCAATTGAATATTGAGAAAACATCTCAGCCCAGTCCTGATCAAGCCCATAAGCCCGATATCAGCCCATATGCCTGATACCAATCTATAAATTCCTCTTCAGACTTACAAAATACATGCAATGATACTGAATGCAGGAAGATCACAGGCCAGTGGGTAGATCCAGGGGCGGTAGAGGCATCTCAGTTAGAGAGGTCTCCACGTGGCTCCTTCAGCTTCAGGGCTCTAGCGTAGCTCCATGTTTCTTTTTTTTTAAATCATTTTATTGGGGGCTCTTACAACTCTTATCACAATCCATATATACATCCATTGTGTCAAGCACATTTTTGAGATTTTAATTTTTATGAGAATAGAAAGCCTTTCTCCTGTGGAGCAACTGCTGGCTTCGAACTGCTGACCTTGTGGTTAACAACTCAACATGTAACTCACGATTCCAACAGATGCCTTAACATAAGCCAAGTCAAAATAGTGATTTCCTAAGGAATCTGCTGAGCTGTGAAATTCCAAGCAGAGAGGTTAGCTCAGAAGGTTTTGCTTACTGTGTTTTGACATCCTGTCTTTGGCTAGGTTCTCTGGAGAAGTAAAACCAATGAAGTTCATATATGTCTGTGTACATGCCAGCTAAAACAATAATAATGTGCTATTATCATGTATCATAATTATAATAATAACTGAAATGCTGGGACAGATGGATATGAATACATTAATATCAATAAAATGGTTCACACAGTTGTTGAAGTGGGGCTGATGAATCCAATATTTTCAGGGAAAGGGCAGGCTTGTGGCCACAGAAGCAAATCAATCTGGGGTCAGTAGCTCAGATGACAGGCTGCTGGCAAGTCCTGGGATGTCAGGCAATAATGCAGGCTACTGGTTCAAGTCCAAGAATCAGAGGTGGATGAGCCTGATGCAGGATCCAGACCCAGCACAAAGCAAACAAGCTTTCCCCACACCATTTACTTGCAGTAGAAGCAAGCCACACCCCTGAGGAAGCTTCTTCTCAATTGATTGCACCAAGGATGTGAATTGATCCCACTCTAATCTTCTTACAACTGATTGGCTCCTCAAAGCAGATCCCATGATGAAGGTGATTACATTGTGTTAGATCACTTTATAGGGAATTACTAGATCTTAACTGTCACACCACTGAGCATTTTGGCCCAGCCAAGCTGACACACAACCTAACTATCACAGATCCCAAAGGAGTAATCTGGATAGGTTTTCTCAGAGGGCACACACAAGATAATCAGGGGATTATGAGAAAGATGCTTTGAGAGACTTGAAACCTGTATTGGTGACAAGTCCGGGTAAGTTTCACCAAGGAATTTCTTCCCAACACAACAATACACCTGCACATTCTCTGAGGGTAGCAGCACTGGCCTACTAGACTTTTGTTGGCAGCCCTTATTCCAGCCAAGCTATGATCTGATCTTGTGACATCAGACTGCCCCCCCAAAATAAAGAATATTGAAAGGAACATGAGTTTGGTCTCAGGAGGGTGCCAACACTACTGTTTTGACTTGGTGTAAACTGAAAATTGCAGAATTTTAAAAAAATGTATAGATTTAAATGGAGACTATGCCAAGAAGCACTATCTTCTTTTCACATTTTGATATTTTTATTTAATAAAGGTTTTTATAATTTTGTAGTAATACTTGTTGACTTACCTTCTCATATTAACATAGGAGAAGCCAAGTAAGGGCAAAAGACTGAACTAATGCAGAAACTCACAACTGTCTCACTATTTTATAGCATAAAATGACAATAATTATGAGAGTCAATTTCCATGAAAAATAATTATCTCTGAAAGTTTTTACAACTTTACATTCACTGTAACGTGTTGTGAGTATCTCAAAAGAAAAATGCTAACATGGAATGGCCAGCCAAGTGCACAGGAGAAATACATCATTTATACTCTAAAAATGAAATGTTTACCGGCAATGTCTTGATCATATTAAACCCAAACTCATCTGTGTGATTTCCACTATTCAAGGCTTCTTCTGAGATAGGTTGACTAGGAACATGATACATGAATCTGAGGTAGCTACAGCTGGTTTTAATGATGGGTAGGAATGATGCAGTAAAGCAGTCGGTTGATGCTTCCAAGAGTGTAATGGAGAGTGTACTTGTACCCTGAAAATAGCCAAAGAAGTGAAGGTCATTCACAGTGTTCAACAAAAGAGGAAGTTTCAATAGCAAAAGAATGATGCATTGGACTGTAGAGATCTGTTTGAGAATAACAGAGAGTACATTCTTTCCCAGGAAGGAATACATGCTCTTCTAGTTGGTTGAGGGAAAACATTTGGAAAACGAGTAAGGATCAAGAAGGACTTATATCATAAGTACCCTCTAACGCATATTAAGAATCATCCCTTGGACATTTGTTTGGATGATGTTTCCGCATCTCCTTTTTGAACAATTTCAAACCCTCAACACAACCCGAAAAGTCCTGCTTGAAATTTTAAAGTGCTTTGGAGTTTCTTTTTTTTTTAAATGTAGACATCCTAATTAGTAGAAGTACTAATGTAGTAGACTTAATAATTTTACTGGAAGCTCTTACAGCTCTTACAACACTCCATACATCAATTGTATTAAGCATATTTATACATATGTTGCGATCAACATTTCCAAAACATTTTCTAATTGAGCCCTCAATATAAGCTCCTCTTCTTTCCCTTCCCTCCCTACCTTCCCACCCTCATGTATCCTTGATCAATTATATACTGTTATAGTTATTTCATATCTTACATTGTCCATTGTCTTCGTTCACCAACATTGCTATTACTCGTCCCCTTGGGGTTGGGGGAGGCTATATATTCAATCTTGTGATGGGTTCCCCCTTCCTTACTCTTCCCCCTCCCTGGCCATCTCCTTATCCTCATGATATCACTACTCCCATTACTGTTCCTGAGGGGTTTATCTTTCCTGAATTCCCCATGTCAAGAGCTCTTATCTGTACCAAGGTGTGTTCTCCGGTCTAGGCAGATTTGTAAGTTAGAACTGGGTCATGGTGGTGGTGGTTGGGGAGGAAGTATTCAGGAACTAGAGGAATGATGTGTGATTCATCGGTGCTACATTACAACTTGGTTGAATCATCCCTTCTTTATTCCCACTTCTGTGGGGGGATATCTAATTATCTACATATGGGCTTTGGGTCTCCACTCCAACCCTTCCCTTTCACATTGATATGGTTGCTTGTTTTGGAGCTTTTGATAACTGATCCCATCAACACCTCATGATCACACAGTGCTTCTTCCATGTGGGCTTATTTGCATCCCTGCTAGATGGCCACTTGTTTGACTTCAAGTCTTTAAGACCTCAGATGCTATATCTTTTGATAGCCGAGCACCATCTGCTCTCTTCACCACATTTGCTTATGCACCCATTTTGTCTTCAGCGATTGTGTCGGGAAGGTGAGTATCACAGAGTGCCAGGTTATCAGAACAAAGTGTTCTTGTGTTAAGGGAGGCCTTGAGTAGAGGCCCAAAGTCTGTCTGCTATCTTAATACTTATCATATAAATATATGCACATTTGCCTCTATCCCTTTCATTATAAATTAACATATTTACATATAATCATGCCTATAGCTATACCTCTATAAATAGCTTTTGCCTCCTATTTCTTTCCTCTCACCTTCCTCCTATCCCATTATCATGCTCACCCCCCATTCGGCTCTCAGTATTTCCTCTCAGATACATTGCTCTTGTTCAAGCCCCACCCTGCATTGTAAGCCCTCCTCACCATGAATTCCAGATCTCTTATCTTACCTCTGAGTTTGTTGGCTCTCCACTTCCTCCTTGTCCATGTAGTAGACTTTTAAATAGTGATGGCTGTGTTAGCCTGGGTAAATTAGAGAAACAAATTCACAGAGATAGTTTTTATATACAAGAGCAATTGAATATTGAGAAAACATCCTAACCTAGTCCAGATCAAGGCCATAAATCCAATATTAGCCCATCTGTCCGATACCAATCTATAAAGTCGTCTTCAGACTCATGAAACACATGCAATGACGCCCAATGCAGGATGATCACAGGCCAGTGGATAGAAAGTCTTTGGATCCAGTGGTGTTGTAAGCATCTCAACACTGGCAGGGGTCTCCATGTGGCTTCTCCAGCTCAGGGCACTAGCATAGTTCCATGTGTCTTTTCAGCTGCAATGTCTCCCAGGGACTCAGGAGAGAGGGAGAGTGTGTCTCCTGTCTCCAAGGAGGAATACAGGAGTTCCCCGAATCCTCAGGAGAAGGCCAGGCCCACACAGAGGGCTCATTGGCTATGACCTGATTGACAGGCTAGACTCCACCCTTCACTCTCAAATCGACAAAGGATTATATAACTAGCAAAATGGTTTTGCCCTGTTCCCATATTCTGTAGTCATTCTTCTAGGATGTATTCTTGCTAAGAGATATTAGACATGAATCTAGGCAGTGCGCTATTGATTTTTTCCCCCCTTCAAGCTAAATAAAATATTTGTTCATATACTAAGAATGAACAAAAAGGCAAGAATCTTTGGACACTGGGCCACTGTCTCTGCCTGACAATAAATGGACCTCAGTAGAAGGGCATCTGAAGACCTAGGCTAGGATAAACTTAAAAAAAATACAAGGAAAAAACACAGAATGAGATGGACTGGGGTGAAGCTGGGCCTCCCAGACACAATGGGACTGCTCCCTTAACAGTGGTAGACTTCCTAGGGGAGATATTTTCCTTGATGGGTGGTTGGTCCTGATGGAACCTTGGGGCTGGGCCACTGCCCTGTTCAAGCAAAGATCTTTTTTCCCCAGGGCACTTACACACTCACTTTTGTTCCCCTTCTTAAGAAGGCATAACCCCACTGTGGTAGTTACGTCATCTGGTGTGAATTTGGGACTTAGGAGGATTAAGAGTGGTGAGGTGGAGTCTACTCTGTCAATTGGATCATAGCCAATGAGACTTCTGTATGAGCATGGCCTTCCCCTCAGGATTCTGGGAATTCTGGTATTTCCTCCTTGGAGACGGGAGACACCTCTCTCTCTCTCTCTCTCTTTCTCTCTCGGCTCACTCCCTGAGAGACATTGCAGCTGACAAGACACATGGAAGTATGCTAGTGCCCTGAGCTGGAGAAGCCACATGGACCTAACCTGATGCAACCAGACCTCTGGAGCGGAGAAGCCATGTAGTGACCCCTGCCAGCACTGAGATGCTTACAACGCCACTAGATCCAAAGACTTTCTATCCACTGGCCTGTGATCATCCTGCATTCGGTGTCATTGCATGTGTTTCATGAGTCTGAAGAGGGCTTTATAGATTGGCATCAGAAATATGGGCTATTATCGGACTCATGGTCTTGGACTGGACTGGGTTGGGATGCTTTCTTAATGTACAATTACTCTTTATATAAAACTCTCTTGTATACATATGAGTCTCCCTGGATTTGTTTATTCTAGTCAACCCAGACTAACAAACCCTCCCATGCATTCAATCAGAGCAATTAGAAATGGCCAACATGAATGGTTTCGATTTTTCTTAATTAAAAGACACATCTCAAGTGGGTGATGGCATTGTCCACAGCTCTAAGCAGAGATCTATTATGAAAAACAATGGGAGATAGTGGAATACTTGAAGTAAAGACACAAAGAGGTAAACAGGAGACTTCAGAAGAGTTGGTTGACATTCTACAGTGAAACGGATCTCTGCAAGTTTGATGTCAAGGGAAGAAGCAAAGCATGGGGAGCACCTTGGAGTAAAAGAGGCATAAGAGATAGGAGAGGGATTCAAAAAGTTCATGGAGAAACGGGATTAAAGAATAGTAGAATTTCTTCATGACTCTTTTGAAGAGTTGGCAGTAAAACAACCATGCATACTGTGTAGATCTTATTGGAATTCCAATTCAAACCAATTGTAAACAGATTTTTTGGGGGAAATGTGGTCCGGACTGGGTTTTACATATTGCATTCCACTCCCCTCTTGGGTGCATGGTTTTAGAAGAGCTGTCCGTGTGAATTTTTATCTTCATTCTACAATGTTGTTGTCAGGTGTTATGGAGCCGGTTACAACTCATAGTGACTTTATGACCAACAAATGAAACACGGATGGTCCTGCACCATCCTTACCATTGTTATGTAATTGTATGCCTGAGCCTGTTGTTACAGCCACAGTGTCAATCCACCTCCAAAATAAGCACAGCTCTTTCCCCTCTCTGATTTCTTTCAAGATTTTCTCCTCTGTCTTTGATTTTCTGAAGTTGGCATATAATGTGTATAGGTGTGTTGGGGGCGAGGAAGGGTGTATTTATTCTACTTGGTGACCTCTTAGTTTCCTGGATGTGTGGTTTTGTGTCTGTCATTACTTTGGGAACATTCTCAGCCATGATCTCAGTGACACTACTCCTTTTGAATATCCAAAGCATTAAATATAGTGCTTGGTCATCCTTAGTTGGTAGGATTAAATGTAACTTCCCCTCTATTTTTAGCTGGTATTATACATTTTCTACAATTGCTAGTTTTTCAGAGAAATATGTCACAAGTAAAGAAAAATCTTACCCGAAGTAAAAATCTGGTAAACATAGTCACATTTAGTTCATAGCTATCAGCATTATCAAAAAAGAATAAAACAGTGGTGTCTAGCAAAGCTGGGTTTCCAACTGATATTTGCATTAATGGTACTTCAGATGCTTTAAGAGCTGTAGAAACAAAGCCAACAGTTACTCTTTGTGTTTGTCTGGGTGGACTAGAGAAACAAATTCATAGATATGTATATGTGTATAAGAGAGAGCTTTATATAAAAGAGTAATTGTATATTAAGAAAACATCTCAGCCCAGATCAAGTCCATAATTCCAATATTAGCCAATATATCTGATATCAGTCTATAAATTCCTCTTCAGACTCATGCAATATATGCAATGACACCTAATGCAAGAAGATCACAGGCCAGCGGGTTGAAAGTCCTGTGGATCCAGTGGCAGTAAAATCATTTAAGTGCTGGCGTGGGACTCCACATGGCTCCTCCAGCTCCAGGACACTGGCTCCATCAGCGCGGCTCCATGTGGCTTATCAACAGGAATGCCTTACAGGGAGAGTATGTCCTGCCTCCAAGGAGGAAGATGGGAGCTTCCAGAATCCTCATGAGAAGGCCATGCCTACCCAGTGGCCTCATTGGCTAAGAACTGATGGACAGGCTAGACTCCACCCCTTTGCAAGTTGACAAGACATCATGTAACTGCCATGTCAAACCAATTTAGGAATGCTTCACTAATCAGGCTTTTTGAATATAGATAGAATCTATGATAGAGTCACCCTAAAGTCTGTAAATATAAATATCAATTTATATGTAGCTAGTCTTCTTCCTACTTTCACAATCATGTTCTATTTTTCAAAGACAATTGAATTATGGTACTGTCAAAGAATATTGAAAATACCATGGAGAAGTTCCAGCAAGATGGCGACTGAATAACACACACCAGAGGGATTCCATGGAAATAAATATAGGAGAGCCACTGAGAGGGATATTCTACTCTTCCAGGTCACAGGAGGAGCGTAATAAAGATAAGTGGACTCAGATCCTCTAGGTTTTGAAGAACTGTGGGCTTTTGACTCAACACTGCAGAGTCGGCTGGGGTTTAGCTTTAGCCCACCACAGTTGCAGATGGCACTGGGCTACTTTGGCCAGCCCAAGGGCTATACTTCAACACAGACACAACTGCTGCAACCTTTCGGCAAGTTTTAAACCACTCCAGCCCCACAGTCAGGCAGTCCAGGCTTATTTATTTCTTTACTTTTTTCGCTCTCATCTCTTCTCTTTTTCCCACCACAGCTGTGGCTGGCTCCGTTTTTTTTCTTTCTTCTCTCTTTCCTTTCACATGCTACTGCGGCCTCCAGGACACTCCCCTCCACCTAGGGCAACCCTTCCTGCCCTCCACCCAGCTGGGGAAGCTCACACCTACCTTCTGTGGCCTTACACATGGCTGGGGGAAATCCAAATCACCACCCTTGCTGCACTCAAAGCGGCTGGGGGACTTCCACCTCCACCCCCCCATAAAAAACCCCAAAACACCTGGGGGAACTTATGCCTCCTTAGTGACTGGTGAAAATCCCATCTGCCTTCCAAGGCTCTCTAAGCAGCTGGGGCAACTCCTCACTCTTTGTGGTGTTCCACTCATCTGGGGGAACTTGTGTTCACCTTCCACGGTGCTCCATGTGGTTCAGGGAACTTGGTCCCACCCTCTGCAGTGCTTCACATGGTCTAAGGCAGCCCCCACCCCCACCCCCAGCCCTCTCCACTCCTGCAGGAACCTCCACCGGACCTCCATGGCAATCTTGCCAACTATGGCAATTACTCCCACCATCAACGGTGCTCTACACCAAAGTGGGTACACCCATCCTTCCTCCGTGGCACTTCTGTTGCAGTGGGTACCCCTGCACATTTTCTAAGGAGCTCCAAGCCACCATGGGCCACACCACCATGGCTTCCTGTGAGATCATCCTGCACAGCACCATCCTTGCAGACCCACAACTGCCCGACCAGTGTTCCCTGAGAGGGGCATCAAACTTTCCCTCCTAATAACAGAATACTAGTTGGTTAGGGAAAGAGTGAAACCAAAGGAGGATAAAGCAATAACCCAACCTTCCCAGCACAGTCAGCTGCAGGCAGTTCAAAGAAGCAGTCATACAAGTCTCTTAAAGAGAGAAGTCAGTGCTCTTTGACTCTCTAGAAAATGGCACTGGGCTCCTCTAAAATGACACATAAATAGCAACCAGCCACAACATCCTTAACGATAAACAGGAGAGATCAAAGGCAATGTCGTAAGAAGTAGTGAACCTAATTACGTGCATAGAAGAACCGGACATTGATCCACCACAGAAAGAAATCTTCAGAATGCTGCTTGGAGTCATATAGGATATGTGTGAAGCAACACAGAAAAAGGATGTAACAATAGAGGACCACGCACCAAAGGGAAACACGAGTTAAGGGACGAACACCAAAGGGAAATACATGAGATAAGGGACAAGGTAACAAAGCAAATAAGTTAACGGATATCACTAACAGACTAGAAGAAGTATATAACCAAACCAGTGACCTTGAGGACAACTGGGCAGACTTCAACAAATGGGAGAGACAGTCAAACAAGTTAATCAAAGAAGCTTAAGAAAACCTAAGTATAATGTCTTATGCCATGAAGAGGAACATTTGAATACTTGGATTACCAGAACAAGACAGAACCAAGAATTCAACTGCAATAACAGCTAGGGAATTCCTGGAAGAAAACTTCCCCAACTTAATGAATGAGAATTGGGCAACCATTCAGGAAGCAGAGAGGACACCAGGTAGACTGAATCCCAGGAAGAAATTGCCAAGGCACACAGTAGTTAAATTATCCAACTTTGATGAAAAGGGGAAAATCATAAGAGCAGTGAGGGGAAAAGTGTAGTCACCTATAAAGGTACTCAGATTAAAATATGCTCAGACCTATCAGCAGACACCATGAAGAAGAGAAGAGAGTGAGGAACATCGTCAAAGAGTTGAAAGAGAACAATGCCAACCCAAGAATCCTCCACCCTGCCAAACTATCTGTCAAGATTGATGGAGATGTATGAGTCCTCCTGGACAAGGAAAATCTCAAAGAATAAGATTAAAAGAAACCAAGCTCTACAAAATATTCTTACTTTCCCACTGTGGTCAGAAGAACAACAAGCACTGAGCACAGAGGACTACCACATGGAGCAACTCCACCCAGAGGTCAACACATCAAAAATAGCCAGGAAGATGACATGAACTTAATGTTGAAAAGATGGCAAGAATGTACACACACACTCCTCACACACACACAACACAATGATAAGAAGGGAGGTAGGTAAATACTCAACACAAAAGGTACAAGATGACATCACAGAGTTCACAGATGGATGTAATAAGTATGAATGTCAATGGACTGAACGCACCCATGAAAAGACACGGACTAGCAGACTGGCTTAGAAAATATAACCCATCAATTTGTTGTCTATAAGAGACCCATCTCAAGCTCGCAGACAAAAATAGGTTGAGAATTAAAGGCTGGCAAAAAATATACCAAGCAAATGGAAATTCAAAGAAAGCAGGGGTTGCAATCCTGATCTCTGATAAAACTGATCTCAAGGTGAAAGTCATAACAAGAGATGAGGTGGGGCACTATATAATGCTCAAGGGAACAGAAGACCAAGAACAAGTGAGCATAATGAATATATACGTGCCCAACAAGTGACCAGTGAAATTGGTCGATCACATGCTCCAAAAGTTGAAAAAATAAATCACAGGTTCAACAGTCGTAGTAGTAGATGACTTTAATACACTTCTCTCTAAGAAAAGATCACATGGAAAGAAGCTTAACAAGGAAGCTACAAAACTCTACAACTAGGCAACCTGATCTAATAGACATTTTTAGAACTTTTCACCCAAATGCAAAAAAGTTCACATTCTTTTCAAGTGCTAATGTCACATACTCGAAGATAGACCACATCCTGGGGCACAAGTTGAACCTGGGTAATTTCGAGCATATAGAGATCACTCAATCTTCCCTTTCGGAACGCTCTGCATAAGGCTAGAAATCAACAAAATGACGGTTAAAAAAAAACAAGGGAAAATAATTGGAGGATGAATAACTCCTTACTGCAAAACGAGTAGGTACTGGTCCAGATCAGAGATGACATTAGGAAGTTTTTAGAAGCCAATGAGAGTGAGAATACAATGTACCAAAACCTTTGGGACACAGCAAAAACAGTTATCAGACAATGTTTGGAAGTGATAAATGCACACATGAAAAAGGAAGAGAGACTTATGATTGACATTTTGTCACAAAGCATCTAGCAATGAGAGAAAAGTCAACAGAATAATCCTACCAATAGCAAGAGAAAAGAAATATAAAAAAACAAAACAAGGCAGAGATAGATGAATGGGAAAACAACAATGCAAAAAATCAATGCAGCCAAAAAGCTGGTTCTTTGAAAGGATTAGCAGAATTGATAGACCATTGGAAAACCTAACCAAAGAAAGGAAGGAAATCACAATAGCCAGGATGAGGAATGAAATGGGGGAAAATACAACACTCCCTAATGAAATTAAGAGGTTAATTACACAGTACTACAAAGGCTTCTACCCCAATGAATTTAAC